TTACCGTTCCCGAACAGCACAGCGAAGAGCAACTCCTGGGTAGCTATTGCCCGCTAAACTAGCTGGCCATGCCTCAACATTTTGTAAAAATGTTTCATAGACCACTGATTATGACTATAGAATATTTATATTTTCATCAAAATGCATAGACATACATAGATACTGAATTGCATGCAGGAACGGAAAACTAAACTAAAAAAAAAAGTTTTTGTATTGGACCCATCAATGTATTCCTACTACAATTATTGGTGGTGATGCTAGTATGTTTTTATGTCCCCGCTACGGGCTAGAATACTTTTAGTCATTTCAAGCTAACAACCTCGAATGTAATGGGAATTTAAACAAAAGATGACGTAAAAACCAAAAAGGGAACCTAAAAGATTTATTTATGGTGGAATCATTACCCAAAAAATCTACTTAAACACCTAAAAAACAAAACTTAAGCTCTTACTTATCAACTTTTAACCAAACGAACCCCACGCTTGCGGTTAGTTTTTAATAGAATATCAGAAGTAAATCTTTTTTCATCATGCCTTGTTGACTTCATTTTTCCAGGATTTTTTTTGAATTTTTATACTTGCTGCTTAATAATTGGAAAACTTGCAAAATTTCAAGCGTGAAAACTTAAAAACTTACAAAGAGGCTGAAACCTCATTTTTTAAACAAATTTGAAAGAACCAAAGTAGCGTATGATCCACATGGTGCTGTTCTTTGTTCAAATAAAAAGTTCAGAAAAAAATAAAAAGAAACTCATCATATTGAAGCACCAATAAATCAAATCACTGTTAAATTCAATGGTTGTTTCAAAGAGTTCAACTCGGTTGCTAAAACCACTCAGCATATTGACGTTGATCAGGGTCAATCGGCAAACAAAGACGCGTGTAAGGTCTGTAGCTTAAGTCTCATATACAGTGGGCAGCAAAGAGTTCAAGCAGCAATTACAATAGAGAAAATAATCAAACATGAAACGAACCCAAACCGTTTCCAATGTTAACTGAAAAAACTTTCAAAACAATGCCGAGGACAATGAATTCATAATGTAGAAGAAAAAAATTGAAGATGAACTCATGTCTGATCAGACCGAATATGGGTTTGTCAAAATACAATACTGAATTGAAGTGAGCTTGATCAAACACGTCACTGCTGAGCAGGAGGAAATAAAAAGTTAGAAAATCTGTACTATCTGAACACTCAATTGGTGCAAGTCAGATACGGTGGCTTGAAAAGAGGAAAATACATTAAAATGATTGCGCACATGCTCCATACAGTCAAATGCTTCGCTTCACTTTGCAGAGGATGGTAAGTTGAAATTAATTTTCAAACTGACCATCAGTTTTAGTAAACTCTCGTTGCGCGTTAGAAGCTACTAGCCTCTACCAAACGATCTGAAAAGAACAGATTTTCAACGTGGTCAATCTAGATACAACAACAAGTAAGCACGAATGTCTCTGCTTCATTGCAGCTTATCATCTGAAACACGGACCTGCTCTATGCTAAACATAAACTTAATTTTACTTTATCACAAAAAGACAAAGATGCTACCTATCAAGAAGCAAAAAAAGATAATTCTGCTGATTCTACTGCTGCAAGAAAAAAAATTGTAAAGATTAACAAATTTGGTAAAAAGAGGATGATATTGTCCTTAAACAGCAGCCGGCGAAGGGAACAAACGGTGCTGAAATGGAGAAGGAGGATCCAAGGAAAGTTTCAGATGCCAATGAGCGCTCTTGACACTGATAAATTTGAAAGAATGCGCAAGATCCAGATCAAATTATTTCGTTGAAATGAATTCATTTGAAAGTTTTTGAACGCGTTATTTGGTAACTCCCGTACCGTTTTTGTTGTCCACATCAAATCTTTTTGTGTCTGGTAGGGTGTTTGTTGGATGATCTGATACCATTTTGAATTCACAAATAACTGCAATGTTTATTTGTGCCGGAACTACTGCAAATCTGGGATGGAACATATCTTCACTTTGTGGTCTTCAAGGACCTTGCAAATTTGATAAAATCTATTTGAAAAACAGTTCTTTGGGAAGGATTGAAATATGTCAGAAACGTTTGCTTAATTGCTCATCTATGCATACCCTGCAACGACATCAAATTGTTTTTTATCAAGAAGACGGGTTCGAAGTACCAAGGCAGTACTGAAATTGATCGACGCATTTTCAAAAACATTGGTGCGCGTTCGTATGTGCCAATGTGATCTTCTTTGACCTGGAGTTTTTGCTTGTACCTGTTGCTGGTGCCATAACTGGTTAAAAAACTAGCATAACAATTCGGAAAAACAAGTGTGGTCAAGTTAAGGCAAGTACGAGAACGAGATAGCGTAGAAAAATTGCTGTGCGGCCTAAAAAGTCTAGCGAAAAAAATCCATTTTGATTAAAGGAGACACTATGTCTACACCGGGCAACAACAGACAAAAGAAGATGCGACAAAGTTTTAGGCAGAAACAACCCGAACAATCTGTTCTCTGTACCACATGCCGCTGAAGAAAAAACAATCTCACTGACCTTATTACTGCAGATAAAACTCTTGCAACAAAAATGGAAAGGTCGAGAAGCTTTATGAAAAATTAGCGTTTACCGACTCATGTTTCAATAATTATTATCATTTTGTCTGTCGAACCTTGAAAAGAACTAACGAATAATAATTTTTTATTCGCTAACGGTTGATAAAATCTAACTTTTGGAAAACATCTTCAAAAAAGGGACATTCTTTGGAAAAATTGAAAACATAAGGCAAAAGGGGTTCTACCACTATAGCTACATAATAGCAGCTTTGACAAGCTCATCGCGTCACAATTGTCTGCCCTAAGTCTAAAAAATAACAGTTTCAACGGTGTTGAAATCAGTGTCATTCATATTGATATATTCAATCCGAGAGGGTGTATAGCGAGATTCATTGTTGGATAAGTGGTTATCACAACTTGTATGTATCTTGCTACTAAAATTTTTCTTTCTTATAGCTTCGGTTTTTGAAGAATTTGGTCAGTTTGGTATATTAAGTACGGGGTCGACTGCGACACTACAACACTTTAAGCACCAGAGATGGTGAAGAGTTCTTGAAAGTAAGCTGAGCAAAAATTCGACTGCTCACTGAGCGAGACCACCTTGAGTTTATTGAAGAATTGATACGCATTGGGGTGCTATCAGTCTAGGCAAAACAAAACTGGAAGCCAAACAATCAGTAAATAAAAGGCTATGGTAGAAGCGAGGAGTAAACATACAAAACTATCTTCGATGCTAGTAACTTCTAAGGATGGATAATCCAGCATCTTGTACTGCCATTAAAAACGTTTTCGTGGGCAGATGCAATTGTAGACTATCTAGGCAAAAAAAATTGTTGTCTAAGTTGTAGGCTGAAGAAAATCAACCAGTGACCTCCAAAAAAGTAGTTGAACTGAATAGTATCCACAGTTTGTCAACAGTTACCCAAGCTGATTCTGTTACTAAAGGCGAAAAAAGGTTGCAAGAAACATCACCGACTAATCAACGCTATCTACACTTAGCTGTAGAAGTCAATTAAGTTCATCGGTTGTTACAGTTTCAATTGGTTGTAAATTCCACTTTTATTTCATCGGGTGTTACAGTTTCGACATTTAAGGTAGAGATGTGAATACATTCCTTGATATGAGGATCCAATAGAGGTAGGCAGCAGAAAATACACCTGACGAGATACACCTGACGAGAGCTTCCATAAGGTGCTCCGGTAAATCTGCTTTCGGTAAACTATGGAGTTAAAGTGAAAACGGAGGAAACTCAGTATTATTTGCAGAGATTTGCAACCAAACGAAATCTGTTGGGATGAGCCCAAAACAGTGGCGACAGCAGGGGCGGATTTAGGGGGGGGCGGACGCCCCCCTTCTCAGGGATTCGACCGCCTGCCGACCCAAAGGGTCCCCCCTTTGATACTTTTGTCAAAGAACGCAATTTTTTCGTCAAATTTTTCAAAAAAAATGGCTTTTTTGACTGTTTTTTCAAAAATTTGCCTGTGGCTGGCGCAGAAATTTTAGCCAAAATAGGGGCAAAACACTGCTTTGGGAGAGCTCGAAAAATCAATTTGGTCGACCTAAAAAAAAAAAAAAAATGTCATCAAAATTTTCGAAAATTTTTTCAAAATCCGCCCCCCCCCCCCTCGAAAAAATCCTAGATCCGCCCCTGGGCGACAGTATTATTGAACATGGCCGAGAAGATCATGTTGATATCCGCGATATTCAATTGAAACCCAATTTTAACTTACTTTTACTATTTTCAGCCACTGACGTTTTTGTATATAAGGTATAAACCGTTGATGTTTACATTGAAAAGACTGGGAAACCACTTCGTCATTTGTAATTGCCCCAAAAATGTGTCAATGTGAAGTGCCCATTACAAGAAAAAGTTCTATAACTGAAAAACAAATGGCTGGTAAAATAATCAAGAAATTTGTCGGTTTGAAGCCGAACTTCTGCTGCATTCGCAATCATATTTAGACTTACTTATCAAATTCAAGTCTTTCTTTAAACAAACTAATTTTTCATATTTTTGTAGGTAGTTCTCCAAAGGAATCAGCCTGGGGAATTGATTTGAAGGCACAAACCTTTCTTACACTTGACAAATTTGGATAGGTCACCGCACTTCCGACTAGAAATTTTTAGTTTCCAGTAAAAAAAATTATCTACGGTGTTAAGTTACAAACAAAGAAGACCTCACGTCAGTGGACACCGAGCGATTCATTTTGAGAGACCTTATTCCAAGCATACTTTTTAAAATTTTTTCAAAGCAAAGATGAGTTTGAAAAACTATTTTTTTAAGCAAGG